TAGTCCACCTCCTCAATGGTGGGCCCCTGGGAGCCGGCTCGTGCCTGCTCTCTGCAGCTACCAGTGGGCATTCCTCCCTGATACAACTTGCTGATGACGGGGTTACACACTTTCTCCAGCTCTTTCTGCTGGTGTTGGTACTCCTCTTTATCAGCCAGCTGGTTGTTCTCCAGCCAGCCGATGATCTCGTCACACTTCTCAATCACCTTCTTCTGGTCCTCCTCACTAATTTTGCCCTTCAGGTTCTCGTCCTGCACGCTGCCCTTCATGTTGAAGCGTAGGACTCCAGGGGAGTTCTTGGCAGCGATCTTCTCCCTCTGAAGGTCGTCCTCGGCTTTGTATCTGTCGGCGTCCTGCACCATCCTCTCGATCTCTTCTTTGCTCAGACGGCCCTTATCGTTGGTGATGGTGATCTTGTTCTCTTTGCCGGTGCTTTTGTCCACCGCAGTCACGTTCAAAATGCCGTTGGCGTCCCGTCGAAGGTGACCTCGATCTACGGGACCCCCCCGTGGAGCGGGCGGGATTCCCGTCAACTCAAACTTGCCCAGCAGGTTGTTGTCCTTGGTCATGGCTCTTTCCCCTTCGTAGACCTGGATCAGGACCCCGGGCTGGTTGTCCGCGTAGGGTGCTGAAGGTCTGGGTCTGTTTGGTGGGGATGGTGGTGTTGCGTTTGATCAGGGAGGTCATGACTCCTCCGGCGGTCTCGATACCCAGGGACAGAGGTGCCACGTCCAGCAGCAGCAGGTCCTGAGCGTTGCCAGAGGTGTCGCCCGTGAGAATGGCGGCCTGGACGGCGGCACCGTCAGCCACCGCCTCATCTGGGTTGATGCTCTTGTTCAGCTCCCTGCCGTTGAAGAAATCCTGCAGCAGTTTCTGGATTTTGGGGATGCGGGTGGAGCCTCCCACCAGGACGATGTCGTGGATCTGCACCTTGTCCATTTGGCGTCCCTCAGGGGCTTTCTCCACCGGCTCCAACGTTCCCCTGAACAGGTCGGAGCACAGCTCCTCAAAGCGAGCCCTGGTGATGGAGGTGTAGAAGTCGATGCCCTCAAACAGAGAATCAATCTCGATGCTGGCCTGGGAGCTGGAGGACAGGGTTCTCTTGGCCCCTCTCACAAGCTGTGCGCAGCCTCCTCAAGGCTCTCTTGTTCTGGCTGATGTCCTTCTTGTGTTTCCTCTTGAATTCCTCCACAAAGTGGTTGACCATGCGGTTGTCAAAGTCTTCCCCGCCCAGGTGAGTGTCTCCGGCCGTGGCTTTGACCTCAAAGATACCGTCTTCGATGGTCAGGATGGACACGTCGAAGGTGCCTCCGCCCAGGTCAAAGATCAGGACGTTGCGTTCTCCGCTCTTGCCTTTGTCCAGACCGTACGCGCGATGGCGGCCGCCGTCGGCTCGTTGATGATCCTCAGGACGTTCAGTCCGGCGATGACGCCCGCGTCTTTCGTGGCCTGTCGCTGGGAGTCGTTGAAGTACGCCGGGACCGTGACGACCGCGTTGGACACCTGGTGGCCGAGGTAGGCTTCGCGATCTCCTTCATCTTCAGGAGGACCATGGAGGAGATCTCCTCGGGGGTAGAAGGTTTGTCCTCCCCCTTTGTATTCCACCTGGATTTTGGGCTTCCCTCCATCTCCAACCACCTTGAAGGGCCAGTGCTTCATGTCAGCCTGCACCACTGGATCATCCAACTTTCTTCCAATCAGTCTCTTGGCATCAAACACAGTGTTGCTGGGGTTCAGAGCCACCTGGTTCTTGGCCGCGTCCCCGATCAGCCTTCGGTGTCGGTGAACGCCACATAGCTGGGGGTGGTCCTGTTGCCCTGGTCGTTGGCGATGATTTCTACTTTTCCGTGCTGGAAAACCCCCACACAGGAGTAGGTGGTGCCCAGGTCGATGCCGATCGCTACGCCTTTAGCTGCAGACATTTTCACTGGAGACGCTCGTCTGTCAAACAGTTCAACAACATTTTAGAAACAAGTTGGAGGAAGTAAACATCAGCACATTACTGCACATGTGCACTGACTCACAGCACATCATTAATACTGCCATTATACTGTTCTGCTCTTCATTAGCACACTTATTCATCCACTGCTCAACATTATCAACACTAATTATTACTATTCATTACACTTCTGTTATATAACAGTTACAACACATATTTCACATGTCTGATTTTCTATTTCTTTATACTTTGTTGTTATATTTTGTACTATAATGCACATATTTTAAAGTTCTTTATTATTATTTCTATTTCTTGTGATGTCTTACCCCCAATAAAGGGATCAATAAAGTATTTCTGATGGTGATGTCACAGTCTACAGTCATATTTATCATCATTAGTTTAGTTCAATATTGTTCACTTTAAGTCAAATTGTGTAAAATGCAGCAGAAAATGTTTTCTGAGCTTCTCGTGTTCAAGAAAACATTTAAAAACTAAACAGTTTGCTCCACTTACATCCCTTCAAAATAAAACGCAGATATGAATGGAGCAGATATGAAAGCATGAAGCTTTGAGAAATGAGTGTTGGACTTACAGTTGAGTGCTGAGTGGTCTGTGTTGTGAAGAGGATTGATCTTCTCCTTCCTCTCTGGATCTTCTGCTGCGGTCTGATCTGTTTCTGTTGCTGTCTCCGCTCTCCGACCAGCAGCTTTATATCTGTGGAAGCTGTCTGGCTGCTTCTAGACGTTTCACACACACACACACACACACACACACACACACACACACACACACACACACACACACACACACCATCAAGTAGGAGTCTGTGGCAGAGACAGCTTCCTGTTGCACATTTCAAAATAAAAGCATTCAAGAAATAATACTGTGTAAGTGACTCAACTCAAGACTCATTCGTCTTATTTTGAAGGGTACATCATTTGACTGCCTGTATTTTGCTCCAATGTGAGTGCAGCTTTTTGTTTCCTGTGTGATGACATCATGGACCGAAGTTTCTGGCTCCTGTCAGAACTTTCTAGGCAACCGGAGCAAAATCCAGACAGAAATGAATTTTCTCTCATTTGATCATTAGTTACTGTGAAGATTTACAGGACCCTAAAATACACAAGAGACTAAAACATTAAAACAATGCTAAGTTTTTATTATTTTATTTACACTTTTCACATCAAGACAAACACCAAAACTACAAATAACAGCAACTAACACAACCAAAGATTAATAAAAGGAGGTGGGGGTACAGTGCAGAGCCTCACAATTCATTATCATAGTGTGCACTTGATCCTCAGAGGAACCCAAAATATCAGAGCATGTTTCAAAACTTTATCCCAGTTTATTCCAAATTATATTCAGTATCGCTGTTTGCTTTTAATAATGTCACAGAAAAACTTAACAGTACTATTATCTCACTTTGTAGGTGATGATAATGAGATCGTTACTACCGGTGCTTCTCTCCTCTTTATAGCCCCCCATTAAAGGGATTATAAGAGTCCAAGACCCCCACTTCTCTCTGTAATCATCTTTTTACCAATTAATCCTACGCTTTTTATCCTTCCACAAAACAGAATAAAACGTTCTGTTTATATCATCGAACCAAGATTTTGGAATATACAGAGGAACTGAAGAAAATAAAAAAGATAATCTTGGGACAATGTTGATCTTCAGCACTTCAGCTCTGCTCCATAAGGACAGAGGCAGGGTTGAGCACCTTCTATGGTCTCTACAGAGTATAATAAAGGTTGTGCAGTCAAATCAAATATCTTATTATTGGTGTTATAATCAATACCCCCAAGTATTTCATCCCCTCTGCTTCGTCCAAGATCCGTCATGTACGTGTCAACCAAATATCATCTGCATACATATTTAATTTGAACTCGAGACCACTCATTAGAACAGCTCTACGTTCTATAGTGGTTCAGACAGGTCCATGATACAATGCTTCAATCCATTCTAAGCACCTTGGACCAAAACCATATCCAGAAAGAGCATAAAACAGGTACGGCCACTCTATTGTGTCAAATGCTCCCTCCAACATCCAGTGACGTCGCTACCAGTGGATGTCGGAGAGAGCGACCATGAGCATCATTTGGAGAAGCCTCCTCATATTGTTGGATAAGAGGCGTCCCGGGTATAAAGCCCTCCTGATCCAAGTGAATTAAACTGGATACAACTTTCTCTCAATGTTTCGCTTCTATTTTATGCACTTTGTCGTCATTATGAAGAAAACTTAAAGGCCTGTAGTTGTTTACATCCAAATGGTCTTTCCCAGTTAAACAATTGATTCAATACAAGCACAAAAAATGTACTTTAAACTTTACTGCTCAGATTGAGATTTTACATATTAACTTATGATGATTAAATGTTGATTAGTTTTAATGGATTAAACAACAGTTAACACCACATCGAGCGTCTGAGGGCAGAAATAATCAATCAGGGTTGAAAACACATAAAAACTTAGTTGTATAACAAGTTTAGACTGTTTTAATTCTGATTCTGATCATCATCTGTTCTAATATATATTTTAGTCTTTATTTTTCAGTCTCAACATTTTAAATTCTGGTTTAATCAAATCAAATGAAAATGACTTTATGATCTGTTAAGAACTTTATTTGTGTAAAGGCATCTAATGCGTACACAAAATGACTTACACAGTCTATTAATTATAAAGCGTCTTGTTTAGAAATCAAAGTAGTTGACAGTTGCTTATCCAACATATTTAATGTCTGTTATTAACTAAAAGCTGAATACTTACACAGCTTCAATCAGCACTGCTGCTCCAGCTACGTACATGTCTCCAATCACACACACATTTAACTTCTCCCCTCTGTTGAGATTAAACAGAACAATCAAACAATATTTATCCCATAAAACACTGACTTTAAGTATTTTAATTACATATAATTTTATTACACAAGTACAATGTAAAGGAGTGCACAGCCTCCTTATGGGTTTGCATTCAGTTCATCTGAAGAAAATATTTACGTTATGTTTATTTTTTTGAATAAGTACAATCTTGATTACATTAATTTCAGTTACGTTTGACTTAAAAATATTTCTTCATGTGTATGAAGTTGTGTCTTTAATGAGTCGCAGTAACTGTAATATTAACGTCTCCCTCCAGTGTTGGACAGTAGCTTTACATCAATCCATAATCATCGACTTGGTGATCAGCAGCACCAAAGCAAGTAAATACGGCTGTTTTTTGGTGTCTACATCCTCTGAGATCTCTCAGTATAAAGAAAGCTGATTCCAGAGTAAGGTCGACCCACAAGGTTTACATGATCTCTGTCTGAATGTCTCTCCGGTGTTTATATAGTTTGAAACAATCCCAGAAAATGTGAATATGATCACCAAACTTACAGAATGCCCTCCAACACAAAGAAGAGTTTAAATACTCTCATTCTGGTTTAACTCTGTCTCCTAGGCATATTTTATCAGTCATTATAATATAAATCTTTAATTCCCATTTCAGTTTGGATTCCTGAGTATTTCCTACATTACGTTGAAGCCATCTGTATACACTGTAAAACCTGATGAGTTAGTTCACCTCACACTGAGGAAACTGATCGTCTTAAACTTTTTAAGTTTATTAACTCACACAATTTAATCATGGAGGTTATTTAACTTTGGTAACTCGGGTAAATGAAGTTAATTGAACTAATTCCATTCAGTTAATTGAAGTTAAACTCATATGCAGCATTTCTCCAAACTTATTTAAGATGTGTGAACAGAATTTATCTGAATAAAGTCACTTAAATTAATCTTTATACAAATGTTAGGTCGAATTTATTCGGTATTACATTACCTGTCAAAACAGCTGACGTACGATAAAAACAATGTATGATTAATTGATTATCAAAATTGTAGCCGATTAGTTTTCTATATTGTTTTATGTGACAAACATCAAATCCTTCAGCATCATAATTCTTATATTTTTAAAAAGATATAAATTGGACTTCGGGAAAATGAGTCAGTGAAACAAACTAGAATTAAATCACCTGAACTTAAAATTACTGAACAAATGTAAGTTCACTAAGTTGTGTTTAATTTATGTGAATGAGTGACTCTAATGTTTTTAATTTATGTTATCTTACTTCTTTTTATTAAGATGTGTTGTCAGGTTTTACAGGTTGTAGACAGACTTATTATTATTTATCGCTCTACAGTTAACATGAAAACCCTTTTAAATCTGATGGTAGTTTACAAATCAGCTGCAGTGTCGGATTTATATGATTTCAGATTTTACTCACAGAAGAGTTGATCTACATTAATTAACACTTTATCTGCACATTTTCTAAAGCAATTATTTTAAATTTCCAGGTCAGAAATCTGGAAAAGCTGATTTATATTAACATTAATTATCGTTTTTTAATCAACTTTAAATGTATTTTAACATCAGAAACATTTTGTCATTTAATGTCTGGACCATTTAATAATTAATAAATCATTATAAAAACATAGAAACCAGAAAATTTCAATTTATTTTTCATCTTTATTGCAAAGTCCAACAAGGCAGAGATGAAAAATCCATCAAATGTAACTTATTATCCAAAAGTTTAATAAAGTTTCTTTATAGATAAGATGAGAAACACAGAATGAAGGTGAGATATAAAGTTACAGTCGCAGTAGTAATCACAATATTTACAGGGAACGTCTCTAAAACATTTGCATCTTTACAACTTATTCATTGAATTAAAAAAGGGAGCAAACATATGAACACAGGGCAGGAAGTTACAGGTAAAGGGTAAACAGTCCCAGTGGTCATAGGGTCCATATGAAGGGCCACTTTAGTCCACCTCCTCAATGGTGGGCCCCTGGGAGCCGGCTCGTGCCTGCTCTCTCTGCAGCTACCAGTGGGCATTCCTCCCTGATACAACTTGCTGATGACGGGGTTACACACTTTCTCCAGCTCTTTCTGCTGGTGTTGGTACTCCTCCTTATCAGCCAGCTGGTTGTTCTCCAGCCAGCCGATGATCTCGTCACACTTCTCAATCACCTTCTTCTGGTCCTCCTCACTAATTTTGCCCTTCAGGTTCTCGTCCTGCACGCTGCTCTTCATGTTGAAGGCGTAGGACTCCAGGGAGTTCTTGGCAGCGATCTTCTCCCTCTGAAGGTCGTCCTCGGCTTTGTATCTGTCGGCGTCCTGCACCATCCTCTCGATCTCTTCTTTGCTCAGACGGCCCTTATCGTTGGTGATGGTGATCTTGTTCTCTTTGCCGGTGCTTTTGTCCACCGCAGACACGTTCAAAATGCCGTTGGCGTCCACGTCGAAGGTGACCTCGATCTGCGGGACCCCTCGTGGAGCGGGCGGGATTCCCGTCAGCTCAAACTTGCCCAGCAGGTTGTTGTCCTTGGTCATGGCTCTTTCCCCTTCGTAGACCTGGATCAGGACCCCGGGCTGGTTGTCGGCGTAGGTGCTGAAGGTCTGGGTCTGTTTGGTGGGGATGGTGGTGTTGCGCTTGATCAAGGAGGTCATGACTCCTCCGGCGGTCTCAATACCCAGGGACAGAGGCGCTACGTCCAGCAGCAGCAGGTCCTGAACGTTGCCAGAGGTGTCGCCCGTGAGAATGGCGGCCTGGACGGCGGCACCGTAAGCCACCGCCTCATCTGGGTTGATGCTCTTGTTCAGCTCCCTGCCGTTGAAGAAATCCTGCAGCAGTTTCTGGATTTTGGGGGATGCGGGTGGAGCCTCCCACCAGGACGATGTCGTGGATCTGCGCCT